AAACCTTTCATACTTCACTGGCTGCATGCTTGTACTGGGTTCGTAAATCAGAAAGTCACTTAAATCTCAGTCTAAGCTTTGACATTTATATAATTTCAAAAACCATTTTCAGTCTTTTTTTTAAATCTGCTGATTTCTGGTGATCCTGCCATGAAGGCCCTTGTTTGAGCACTTCCTGTTTTACAGTGACAGCACTCTGTCCATGTCTCCCAGGCACATAGGCTACCAATAGAGAGACTTCCGGTAGTCGTTTTTACCACAGATTATGCAAGCACAGGTTTAGAAATCCGTCTTGAGCAATGCCATGCAGCCATCTCTGGAATGCATGTAGACAGAAAGTGACTTCAAAGAGGCTGCAGGAGTCATTAAACATTATTATATGTAGTGATACACATTTAGAGTGGCTATTAGTGCACGGGTTCTGAGGTTTATTTAGGACCTCAGTTCACACACTTTTTTGGACACTTTTGTTGGAGCACATTTTGCACTTTATTTATATATGGAGTGTTGTGAGTTTATCACTTTATTATTGTATTGCACATTCATTTGCATGTTTTGATGTATTGGTATAATTAATTTAGCGCTGCACTATATTATTGGTTCTACTTTTTTCACTGTTGAGGAGATCAGCAGTACTGAGATGCAACAAAGAACGAAAAGCAGGCAAAAACATTTTTTTTTTTTTCATTTAATGTAATTAATTTTTTTTTCTCATTTAAATTAGTTTCATTGTCCAGCAAAATTGTTGATGACACAGGAGTTTGTACAACAGTGCAAGGAGTGCTACAGTGGTTAAAATAGCTTGGTCTGCATGTAAATGTGTAGGACGATATAAATACAGCCATGTGAAATAACAAAAGGGGTTAAAATACAGAACACTAGTTACATTAATTATCTGCATACAGTTATCAAAGTTAAAGCTGAACTCCGGGCAAACTAAAAGTCTTTCCTTGAAGTGGGACTGCACCTGCACTGCAAGTTAACTGCTTGTTTAGTCTAGGGGATAGTAAAAGCACTTTACTTGCCCACTCCTCTGCTCTCCCAACAAAAAGTGTTCCCCTCTGTTCCAGTGGTGGACTGTCCCTCGATGCCCTTAGTCCAATGCAGGGCTATGGTCCCTACATTGGTTTTGATGACATTAGAAGACCTTAGGCCACCTGAGTGTGGGGGAGAAGATGCTGCAAAGACTGGTCTGGCAGCTTGAGGAGCCTGTAGGAGCAGGGGATTGGGTAAGTTAAACTGCTGTACCTGGTTCCCTTAGGTGTTAACCCTTGCAGTGCAGGCGCAGTCCCACTGCAATGGCAGACTTTTAGCTTTCTCAGCTTTAACCACTTGTCTACCAAGGTACTTCTATAAACATCATGGTGAACAGGTAGTTAAATCAAGCTCACAACTGCTGCTGCCCCTGCGAGCTTAATACCGGTTCAAGGGGAGACTGAGAACTCATGGGGCCCCCGGGCAATAGGGGATCATAGGGCCCCTGTGTCCTTGCCCAAACTCAAAAAAGTCTATGAAAAAGGTACCAGGGGCATCTCATGGGGCCCCCTACTGACCCAGGGCCCTCGGGCAATGCCCGAGTTTCCAAATGGTCAGTCTGCCCCTGTACCGGTTTGAAGAAATGGTGGAGGGCTTTCTACCAAACGCAGCACACATTTTCGCATGTAGACACAGCTGTGAGTATGGTCCAATTGATTACTATAGTGTTGCGTTTAGATGTGCACAAAACTATATACTGTGCTAAACAAGGCTAGGCTCACAATTTGGCAGGCTGTTGTGGATGCAGGAATCACAGCTGTCTCCGCATTCGCAACCAACCGCAGCCAAAACGCGCTGCTCTGTTGAGATCTTAATGGTAACCCCATGCATCTCAACCCACAGCGCGTTTGCGGGTGTGGAAACCACAAGGAAATCGCATGGTGCAGCACCTTTTTTTTATGCAGGCACAGCAGCCCATTTAAATGAATGGGCTTCTGAGCCCACGCAAATGGGGGCCTCAAACCTGCTGAAGTGTAAACCTAGCTTTAGGGCTGGTTCACACCTAAATCACACAGGACTGTGTTCCTCATTCCTGTGCGATTCAGTGTGATGCGATTTTCAAACCACTCATTTGAATAGGCTGAAATCACAATGAATTGCGCTACTTTTCAAAAACACAGGCAACCACACTGCGATTACAATCTGCATTTGGGGTGTCAATTAGTATTATACTGACACCTGCAGCACATTGCATACCAAGTGCATTTTGAACATGGTGCAGAAACTTGCACAGAACGAGCGAGTATCCTCTGTGCAGTTGGGATCTGTTAAAAAAAACTTTGTTAAATATGTAGGAGACTGGAGGTGGTCTGTTTTTTAACCAAGTTGGTGTTTCCCTGTAGAGGCTAACAAATAAATATACAGAATGAAATAACAAAAGAAAAATGGAAAATCATAAAACCCTAAAGTGAATTACTTTCTGACAGCATTTCCTGAGTGTTGAATCCTTAGCGGCAGAGGAATCGCTGGTAGCCAGGAACACTTCCGATTCCTCCTGCCATATAGATTAGCAGTTCTTGTGATTCACCTCTTATGTAGTCAAGTGCTATGCAAGTATTCCCCCCCTCCCCTCTCGTACGCCCCAGAGCCACCCTGACATAACGGTATATAAGCTCTTTAATGCTAAAGTAATGGTTTTTTTTTAAATCTTCACATTTTCCAGTGTTTGAGGTAATCCGACTCAAGAGCAGTTACATTTTTTCAAGTGTTGCCTATTCACTGACTAATTATAGAGCTGAGCCTTCTCCATAGGAAATATACAGCCAATGGCTGGGATAAATATAGGGGAAAACCTAGAGGTGGAGAAAAAGAAGAGAGCTAAATGGGGCTTTTATAGTGAGTACAAGGACCCCAACAATAGAATGGATGACCTGTGATTAGCCATGGCTTGCATATCGGATGTAGCATTTGATATATGCAAGGAATTTTGAGGATATTCTTTAAAAGCTTTCTTATAGCCATCATTTAAAATCTCAATATGTAATCTAAAAGTGCCAAACCTAGACTGGAAAATAGCATCTGCATAGTGAAAGTTGGTTAGTATGGGCATAGGGCTGTGCCTGTGTGATGGGACCTATGAAAATACTATTAAGGGGCCCCCTCTTTCTCTCTGATCTCCATTTCAGAGGCCCATCCTGTAGCAATACAGAATATTAACTCTTTTCATAGATATCGTGAAGAGTAGAGGTGTCCCCAAACGCATTAGTATGAAGGCCACTCCGTATATTTGTGAATATTCATGGGCCAAAAACAGTCCCCATTAGAGTCTGCCTTTACATCAAAGTCCCCATCAGAGTTCCCATTAGAGTCCTCCTTACATCAGGGTCCCTATAAGAGACCTTCTTATATCAGAGTTTCCCTCAAAGTTCCCTGTACATCTGAATCCTTCCTTGCATCAGTGTGCCCATCAGAGTACCCCCTTACATCATTGTCCCCATCAGAGTCCCTTTACATCAGGGTTCCTATTGGAGGTCCCCCTTAAATCAGTGGTCCCATGTGTCACGATCCCAAGATTGCTGCCACCAATATGTCACGATAGCGGCGTCAGACCCCAGACCTTCTCACTCAAACTCGTGACCGAAGGCTAGCCGATCTAAAACCGCAATGTGACGTGCGTAACAATGCCACACCCAGCTGCACCCTGCACAACGATTTTCCAGCTAATGGATACCGATCGATGTACCGGCAGCCTGAGCGATTGTTACAGGGTCAGGTTAATTATGCAATTAACCCTTCACACTGCCACCACCTCCTTTTTGTACAGAGAAAGAGGAAACTCAGCGTTATCAGCTATAACACTATAATGATTGAGATAATCGTCTGTATAAAACGGTCCGCAGGCCGGTTATACAGAGGTTTAAACAACCACAGTAGCATCTCTTTAGAGGCAGGAATTCGTGAATTGCAATACAAAGCTATAGAAACAGTTCAACATTTTCAGAAAGAAAGATTTATTACTAAAAGGTCAAACAGGAGCAATAAAAATATTTACAGAACAAAGATGTAACTAAGATACATATATAAATATACAAAGAACCATAGTACCGCAAAGAGGTATCAGAGAGAGGTGAAAGGGTTAGAGTACTTGCCAAAGTCCTGGATTACAGATCCAAGTTTCAGAGCAGAAGGGTGCTTTGATCTCCCTATGTTACGATGGAAAAAAATGGGAGAATTCTTCAACTTCCTTCTCTTAGGCCTGACAGCCTGTTTTAAAGTCCCCTGCAGGGGGTGTCTCTGATGCCACGGACCAATACCTCATGTAGGCAAGGAGATCTGGGTGTCGACCTAAACTAGAGCCAAAATCTTGTGTAGTTCATATTTGGGCTCATAACTTTTCCTATGCACAAGTGACATCCCACCTGCGGGTTGATTATTATGCAGACAAGTTTGAGGATTGATTAGATATGAATTATGTAATTCTATACTGAACGGTTCGCAAGATCTATTTTTCTGCTTTCCTGTGTATGCAAGACGAGTCGAGTGACCCATCAAACTGTTCAGCTCCTCCTAGCCAATCTGACGGTATGTCTGGTTTTTATGTAAGTTTCTCATATTCCAAGATATGAGACATAGGATAAAAATGGATTTTGAGGAGTGTTATCTGATTCTGTCACCTACGCTTCATTAGGTTCATTAGGTCAGAATCACTTTCAACTCCTGAGAAAGCTTGTCTTATCTCTTCCGAGGTGGGAAATGGCACAGGTTCTTGGAACAGTGAGGCACCTCCTGGCTCCCTGCTGGGATCTGGCCCATGAAGCTTTTAACACACACATCTGTCACTGTGCCTCTCAGAGTGAGAGGGGGGAAAGCATGAGGGAATAACATGGCTACTCTTAACAAAATGGCAGACTGCGTCAGTCTCTGGTGCACATGTTTGCGACACCATGTAGACAGTCAGTCTCTGCAGACCCTAATCCTCATTGTGTGCACATTGAGAATATGCCACTAACCTTATCTGGGGGCCTGATGAAATCTTGGAGAGGGCCAGATGTGGCCTGAGGGCCATAGTTTGGAGATCCCTGGTATAGAGGTTACCAAACTTCATACATATTGTTTTAGTCCACATGTATTGACAAATGCTATTACCACAGGGGCGGACTGACAACTCATGGGGCCCCTGGACAATAGGGGATCATGGCGCCCCTGTGTCCTCGACCACACTCAAACCACTCCCAAAAAAGCCTATGACAGGTACCAGGAGCATCTCATGGGTCCCCCTACTGACCTCGGAGAGTACCCGAGTGTTCGAAATGATCAGTCCACCCCTGCATTACCACATAAATCACTATGTAACAAGACAGCACTGAGCCCCATAGCATATACATGGCCTGCTATAGCTATAGTTCCTCCCTTGTATGGGCAACACAGGCAGAATATATTTTTGGACACGTCAAATGAGGTTTCCAATGCTGCACGTAGCAACCTATCAGACTCAATTCATAATTATTGCATAACTTAGAATGTCAAAGGATGAATTTGGTGGTTATGTCTACACAGATGTATGTACTTTTTTATACACCCACATAGCAAGATTATTTTGGACTGCTGAAGTCCACTGAAACAGGATGTGAAGGGAAATTTCCCCAATGGTACAAAGAGAACAAAGGATGCAACAGGTTTGCAGTTTGCTGACTTCTCTTTTTGTAAAGACTACCCTATAAAAGATATATTGCTGTAGGATGAGTTTGCATGCCCCAGGCACGCCACTGTGATTAGTCACAGCAAAAGCTGATCGATGGGTTCCGACCAATGGATGAGCGCAAGCACACATTGATCATGGAGGAGAGTGAATGTAAACAAGGCAAGAGCTGTGTCCTGTCAGCAGCGATCTGCTGGGTTTTCTTTCTCTGCAAAGCAGGGAATAAAATCCAGCAAATTTACCAATAATATCACCACACTGTGTACACAAAAAACACTAGTTAGGCACACAGATAACCCTTTGATTGCCCTAGATGTTTAACCCCTTCCCAGCCAGTGTCATTAATTCAGTGACAGTGTATATTTTCAGCACTGATCGCTGTATTAGTGTTACTGGTTCTCCCAAAGTGTCAGTTAGTGTCAGATTGTCTGCCACAATTTCACAATCCTGCTGTAAGTCGCTGATTGCCGCCACTACTGGTATAAAAAAAAATTCCAGTATATATACCATAAATTGTAGATGCTATAACTTTTGCGCAAGCCAATCAATATACGCTTATTGGGATTTGTTTACCAAAAATATGTAGCAGAATACATACTGTATTGGCTTACATTTATGAAGAATTAGACTTTTACATTTTTTTTTATTGGATATGCTTTATAACAGAAAGTAAAACATATATATAATTTTTGTTTTCAAAATTGTGTTTTTTTGTTTATATTGCAAAAAATAAAAAATGCAAAGGTGATCAAATACCACCAAAATAAAACTCTATCTGTGAGAAAAAAATGACAAAAATTGCATTTATTTACAGCGTTGCATGATTGCCCAATTGTCAGTTAATGTAACGCAGTGCTATATAGGAAAAAATTTCAAAAAAGCCCAATAAATTATTTTTAAAAAATCCACCTTTGCAGTGGAGTCCTATTGCACTACAAGTACTAATTGCTGGTTATGTCTTGGGGATTACAGAGCAAGCTGTATCACTTGCTTTAAGCCTGGATTTAGCGGTCTCCTCTACTGCCTGAGGCTGTGGGCAGAGCCTTGGTGTCATCAGGTACAATACTGGGACATTAACCTTGAAGTGTACTTTTTGGAGCCTGGAGTGCAACTGGTGTCAGTCACAGCTTGCAGAGGAGCTGTGGAAGACCACTCACAATGTTGTTAGGACCCTGTTGGAATGAGGAATAAGTTAAGTGTTTTCTCCTTTATTCTCTGCCCCTAGACTGATCAAGCAGTGTGGGAGGGCCCCACCACAAGGGTGGATATTTTTATTTTTATGGAGATGGAGATGGGCTTTAAAGAGAAACTTCACCACACCTAGGTAAAATTAAACTTCACTTTCCTAATACCTGTCCCTGTATGAACATGAATAAATACATTCTTACAAGTCTTTGGGGTCCAGCATTGCCTTCCTTGTAACCAAAGTTCTCCCTTGGGACCTGGCAGAGACCTGTGCATGTCTGTGCACCAGCGAGAGCCTGCACTGAAGACCTGAAATGATGCCTCTGAGATATGATGCAGACATTCTAGAAGGAAGTGGGTGGCTGAACCTATGTTACCCTTGCCTAGCCAAGAATCCATAATGTGTGGGTGATAGAGATGGTCCAATAGAAATAAAAATGGGTTCCAATGGATCTACCTTAACCGCTTGCAGACCGCTCTCCCACAATGTACTGCGGACAGATGGCCTGCACAGGCAAAACGACGTACCTGTATGTCGCTGCCTGTTTCCGGGTTTTGGGCGCACATCCCCACTCACCTGTGATTGTTCGCAGCAGGAGCCTCTCAGCAAGTCCCAGCCCAGAGCTCTGTGTCGACAATTAACACACAGCTCTATACAGAAGGAACAATCTCTCTATTTCTCATCCCTGCAAAGAGATCTTTTAGCAAAAAGCAGTTCACCTTACACATATTACACATAGACACACATTTAACCCCTTGATTGCGCTAGATGTTAACCCCTTCCCAGCCAGTGTCATTAGTACAGTATTACTGGTGATGTCAGTGGCAATTAACCAGTTCCCCCCAGCGTCAGTTAGTGTCAGATTGCCCACCGCACTATCAAAGTCCCATTGTCAGGACTCCAGGGTATGACCAGAGGTATGTGAACTGACGCAGGGAAACGCAGGCTTCAGATAAGTTATAAACAATATAATTTATTAAAGACTAACAATACAAACATAAACCCAGTGCAATACTAAAACATAACACAGTGCAAACGAACCAAACCACCCACAGATAACAGTACATACAATGCAAGCGTCGTCAGGCAGGCCGGGTCAATAACAATCGGGCAGGTAGGTACAGGGGATCAGGCAGAGAATGGTCGGGGTCACAAGCCAGGGATAAAACAGGAAAAGTCAGCAGAGGACCGGATCAGGCAGGGTCAGCAACGAATCAGACAGGGACAGGAACAGGAACAGGAATGCAGGAACAACATACAGGGCCCAGGAAAAACACACACAAGGCAGAGACGGCAGGTCTGGCCATCCCTTAAATACACCTGCATAATCAACTTCAGGAGTTTGGCTGGCTGCAGGGTTGAGTCTCTGATTGCTGGGAGCACCCGCTGGCCAGCCCTGGTACTGCAGCCCACAAGGCAGGTGAGTCCCACCATTACTGGCAAGTCCATTCCTGACACCCATTATAAGTCGTTGGTCACTGCCGTTAGTAGTTTAAGAAAAAAATTACATATCTATAGATCATAGTTTATACTGTAGGTGCTATAATGTTCACACAAACTAATCAATATACACTTATTGGGATTGTTTTTAATCAAAGACATGTAGCAGAATACATTTTGAATACAATATAGTGGCAAAAAAACATACGGTACTCAAAATTGGTGAACCAATATTCAATTGCAAAAAGTCTAAACAATATAATAATAATAATAATGCGATGCTTTATGGTGGTCTTCCCACTCCACTCTTCATGCAAAAATAATGTGCAGTGTGCGTGATTCACACGTGCCAATCCTTTAATGGCCAAAATGCCCCCTCACCTCCTTACTTAGACCCCACAGGGCCAGCACGCTTTGAGGATCAAACGATCCTGTCAGAATGGATTCCTCTCTGGATTTCCCCTTTCACCTCCAGCGTCCACCAGACTAGCAGCCAGCTCCTCCCAGGGTCATAATGAGACACAAGCAGAGACCCTCCATAGTGCAACCAGTTTTATTAGGTAAATAAACAAATATAAAGAGTTCCACTCACATTAGCCACAACTTGTTCCAGCTTCCTACCACATGCTATGGGTGTACACTATGGAGGGTCTCTGCTTGTGTCTCATTATGACCCTGGGAGGAGCTGGCTGCTAGTCTGGTGGACGCTGGAGGTGAAAGGTGAAATCCAGAGAGGAATCCATTCTGATAGGATCGTTTGATCCTCAAAGCGTGCTCGCCCTGTGGGGTCTAAGTAAGGAGGTGAGGGGGCATTTTGGCCGTTAAAGGATTGGCGCGTGTGAATCACGCACACTGCACATTATTTTTGCATGAAGAGTGGAGTGGGAAGACCACCATAAAGCATCGCATTATTATTATTATATTGTTTGGACTTTTTGCAATTGAATATTGGTTCACCAATTTTGAGCACAGTATGTTTTTTTGCCACTATATTGTATTAAGAGTGTATTTGTCACTTTTTGCACTGGATATTCCCCACGAGGGAATTCACGCATGACACTACTACTTATTTCTTTGTTTATCATTCCGAATATATATACCTAGGGTGTATATTGAGTTTGTTTATTGTAATCACTTATTCACTGGATATTCATATATATATATATATTAATTATTAGCGCTACACTGTTTATTTTAATTAAGCTATATTATAAGCTTACACAGGGGCGGACTGACCATCCGGGCACTCGGGCACTGCCCGAGGGCCGGGGTCAGTAGGGGGCCCCATGAGATGCCCCTGGTACCTTTCATAGGCCTTTTTGGGTGTGGTTTGAGTGTGGGCAAGGACACAGAGGCCCCATGATCCCCTATTGCCCGGGGGCCCCATGAGTTGTCAGTCCGCCCTTGAACTTACATGTAGGTAGAAATCACACAATTGAGTTTATTACCACTTTAAAGGCCTTTTTGAAGCATTTACTGGTTAAGCATCAGATATAGCCACCATGTTTTGGGGGAAAAAAGCTTCCACCTTCTTCAGGGTCTGAGCAGTTACTGTTTCTAAAATCACAGCAGACTGCAAGAGGCTTGATGAATGGGAAGGCCTCTCCCAATAGCACTGTAGGCAGCCAGCTGCGTTATAGATGAGGATTCGGACTACATTTGCTTTGCGTTAGCAACTAAGTATAGAATCATGAGTAAATGTCGCACACCAGACAGCTCTAAGTGCTTGAAAGGCAAAGAATGGCCTCAGCCACAGCTCCTCCCGATAGGCCTCCTAGGTTTTATGCAGGTTATAATGACACTGTGGTAAATTACTTATGGCAGTATACAAACTGCTATCGATCAGCTCTTATTTTTTATTACCTGGTTTTTAGGTCCTCTTAGAATGCACTGAATCATTGAAAGGAAAATAGCTGAAAAACAAAC